TATATATATAAATAAAAGGATTACAGAACACAACCCAGGGCTCCCTCCTTCTGACAAGCTGCTGGAGAGGAGAGCAGAAAAAGAGATCCCAGAAACACAGAGCCTAATACATTTATAGGTTTTGGGCTAACCCCTTACACAGATGAAATCCGTCCAGCAGACTCCATCTCTTATCTAGAGCTCCACAGGCTTGGAGCAGCTGCATATTACCTAGTGATAACAAAATGAAGAATTCCATATGTGTATGTGTATTGTTGTTACGTGGTGTGTAACTAAAACAATCGTTCAGACATAAATCTACCAGATTAATACAAGAAAACAATTGGTGTCATGGCTTACTGCTAACCTTGAAACAGAGCAGACTAGAGCAGACTTTCAATCTTACTAAACTACATTACTAACACATTAATGTCTAATAATTATCTGATTTATTAATTTCTAACCTCTCTATACATACATACACACACACACACACACACACACATATATATACACACATATATATATATATATCTTATCTATATCTAAGGTTATCTAAGGACTATCTATGTAACTATATCCATCTAGTGGTATCTAACTATAACTAATTTATCTATATCTGTATGTAACTTACTATCTAGCTATATATTGATCTCTCTATCTACAGTGATTCTCCACTAAATACACAATCTGCTACACTACTAACTCTCAAAGCAACTAACGGCAACAAACCAACCTGCTCTGCAAAGAAAGATTTAAATGAACCACTAAATAGGAATATCCTTTCCCTGAACACACTATCTCAGAAAGGATTCACATGACAACCGAACCAATCAGCTGATTTGTATGAGGTTCAACGCACTGAACTGCTTCGAAAATCACCCAAGTGCTTCCAAATTCACTAGTCACGTGACCAAAACACGCCTTGGCACAACTTAAAAAAAAAAAAAACACAATAAAACACTTTACGACTGTTCCCCGAACTAGTCGCTGAACTCCCATGATGCCCCCCCATGCATCATGTCGCTGCCACCAGACCCCTCCCAATAGCCGACGTAGGTCGTCACAATATATATATCAACTGGACTAGATTTCTAGGATTGTTTACAATTCTGCTTTGAGATCTCTGTCCAAACATGCCCACCAGGACAACAGGCGTCGGTCCACAGGGGAGGATTCAAAGACAGGTAACGACTCTCACCGATACTGGGCTATAAGACTCAGTCGTTAAGGGACATTGGCCTTCAAAGGACTGAAACACCACCCAGGGAGATAAATATCTCCGGCTCAACACCAGTCAGTCAGAACTGATGAAGCCTCTTGGATGAGAGGTGAAA